CCAGTTCTGATCCCAGAAGTGGAAGGAAGGCTACCCAGAGGTAGCAGGACACACCACCAAGGGCAGGCTGTACCCAGGAAGAAAGGGGACCAGGAAGAGGAGACAGAACAAACCAGTGACTTTGACGCTGCACCAACAAAAGGCCAGCTGTGTGCGCTGGGCCCCTGTGCAGACTGCGTTCTGTGCTGGTTTTCGTGTCTCTCCTTACGGCTTAGTAACAGCTTAGTAACGTGGTAAGTCTCAAAATCGGTTAGCATAGGTCCTCCTTTGCATTTCCATACACATTTTATTTTATTTTATTTATTTTTTTTGAGACAGAGTCTCACTCTGTTGCCCAGGCTAGAGTGCCATGGCGTCAGCCTAGCTCACAGCAACCTCAAACTCCTGGGCTCAAGCGATCCTAGTGCCTCAGCCTCCTGAGTAGCTGGGACTACAAGCATGTGCCACCATACCTGGCTAATTTTTTCTATATATATTTTTAGTTGTCCAGCTAATTTCTTTCTATTTTTAGTAGAGACGGGGTCTCGCTCTTGCTCAGGCTGGTCTCGAACTCCTGAGCTCAAACAATCCGCCCGCCTTGGCCTCCCAGAGAGCCAGGATTACAGGCGTGAGCCACTGCGCCCAGCCAAAAATCTGCAATCTTGATCAGCATCTTTAAAATACTTCCCTAGGTTCAGTGGTCAGCAGGCGTACCCTTTGGATGCCAGGGAGATGAGGTTTGACCTCGCCCAGACTATGGATGAGTTGCGTCCGTGTTTTACAGCCCGTGGGGCACACCCACATCCATCACCTGCCTGGGTGACAGGAGAGCACTGCAGATGGAGCCCGCTAGGCAGACAGGGACGTTTCAGTGGCTTTCCCACGGCCAGGCCTCAACCTCAGCCCCTGACAGCTAGTGCCAGCCTCCCCCCACAGCCTCTGGTCCTGTGACCAGACTCCACCTGGCTGCCAGTACAGGGCCAGCTCCCGTGGGAGGACAGCAGGCGTCCCTGGTCGCGGGCAACCCAGACTCCTGTAACTGGACCAAGGGTGTTAACTCAGCTGCAGGACACCAGGTTTTAGCAGATCGGCCTTATGGATTATTGGGGATTTTCTGAGGAAAGTCTTTGTTTTAGTGAAACTGAAATTGGCTTTTGAAAAGAGCTTTCGAGGAGAGAGTGAGGCCTTTAACACCTGGGTGTCAGGGTCACCCACAGTGAGGCCACGACCCTGCCTGCCCTGCTCATGATGGCACGAGGCCCCAGACGGCGGGCGGGCCGGGGGCCTGTGGCTGGTCTGTCCTCACCATTCCTCGGGAGTTCAGACATACGGGGAGCAGGCCTTGGCTCGCTTGAAGAATTCATTTCAAATGGCCGTTCTCTGAATTGGAAACACATGTTCGGTTCGGAAAGCAGTCAACTGCCGGAGACTCGTCTGTCCAGACTGAGCAGGGTGGCGTCCAGTCGTCGTCAGACTTGGGGATAAACGCGTGCATCTGGAACCCCCGCGACGCTGGGGACTGAGCCGGAGTGCTGAGAGGCTGGGGCCGGGGGCCATGATCCAAAGCAAACGCAGCCTTCTCTCTGTTGTCTTTGCTGTGACGTGGCGGGCTGTTCTGGGGCGTCCGGCTCTCCGCAGCACATGCGCGCCTGCCCGGGGAGTTGCTGAGGATGTTTGGCCCCAGCGGTACCTTAAGTCCACCTTTTCTGTGCCTTTCACTTGGTGTGACAAGTCTGGGTGTTGAGGGAGTGATGGGTATAAAATGGAGAACTGTCATCGTCCTGGATGTACCAGAACCGGCCCAGTAGGATTTTTGGCACCATTAGGGTGCCCAGTTTAATGGCTGGCAGGAATGAGGGCGTGGCCCGCGGTGCCCTTCATACACGCAGCCTTCTTCCATTCTCCCAACACGTTGCTCAGTGCATCGGGCCAGGCCCAGTGCCAAGCCTTGGGGGGTTCCTGGAAGATAATTCAGATGCTGTCCTCAAGCACTCATCGTCCGGCCAGAGAGCAAAGACGTGAACTGTTGCGAGAGCCCCTAGAGGCCCCCGCCAGTTCCTGATCCAGGGCAGGATGGCTCAAGCTCTGCTGGACAGACGTGAGATGGCTTCGTGGGGGAGGTGGTATTTTAACTGCGGCTTCAGGGCTGGGTGCTGTTTCTCCCAGCGAGGGTGCCAGAAGAGGCCGTCCGGGGGGCTGTGCACAGCGAAAGCAAAGGCACAAAGCCAGGGCGGTCAGATGAGGGCTGGGCACCAGCACAGATGCTGAGAGCGGCCGAGGAGGCGGGGACGCGGAATGTCAGAGGAGATTCCATCTGATGTTATGAGCCGTGGAGAACAATGGAAGATTTGGGGGCAGGAAGTAACACAATTAGGATGCCTTCTAAAGAGCATTCTGGAAAAGGTGTGGATGAAGGATTCAAGGGATATTTCAAAATTAGACTCAGCTGGCCTGAGCCACAACTATGTGAGAGAGAGGGAGGGAGGGGGAGATAAAGGAGAAGGAAGAGTAAACTTTGGATGGGGCGGCTGGGAGAATGGTGGCGGATTTATTTCAGAGCGAGGGGGCTGATTTGAAGGGTTTGGTGGGATAGGGAGGAAAATAAGGACCCGTTTGAGGAGACTGTACTTTGCTATTTGAAAGGTACTTTGCCAATTACAATTCATTGAGGGTTGTAAGACTGAGGAAAAGTATTTCTTTTTTCCAGGTTTTGGATGGAGACGCATGCACTTGGGTAAAAGGCAGGAGCCGCATGGAGGAAGGACAGGGAGGCTGGGAGGCTGGGAGGACAGCGGAGTGACGCTGGAGGGAGCAGGTCCAGGGAGAGCGGGAGGTCAGGGCGAGGGCCCAGGCAGAGGCGTGTGCCTGGCAGGAAGAAAGACGGGGACAGAATCACGCGTGCTAGGATTGCAGGGGAAGAGCAGAAACAGGCCCTCAGTGAGTGTCTTCTGTAATTAAATTTTATAAAAATAAGCAAAACAGCACTGAGAAGCTTATACGAAAAACCAGCTCCACCGTTCCCTCCCCGTCACCCTTCTCACGCCACAGAGGCTGCCTCGGGCAACTCTTCCAGCTGTTTCTCTTCCTCGATGGTCACCTCTGTTTCTAAATTGATTCATCGCCTTAGACATTGTTGGCTCCCCTCCTCCCAGTCCCTGGTACAGGTATCCTACAACAATCAATATTCAACACTGATGCAGTCTGAGCTAAATAGCTTTCTGTGGGTCTCTTGCTTTTCCTCTTTTCTCTGAATCAGTAGTAGTGTCCTGTTACTATTTGCTTAGATTTTATGTATCTATCTTGGAGTCTTCCTACCTTCCGACAGCCTCTCAATACAATTTTTTACGCCATAAAAAATACCAGATCATTTGTCAATTCCATTTTTAAAAAAATGGGTTACCTCCCTCCTGGAATTCTTGTTTTTCCTGATCTAATCTGGGCTGGTTATTCCCTAGACTTGCTTTGAGGCTTTTCAATTTGAACCTGCCTTCTCTACTGTCCCGGAAATGTCTTTATTCTCTCCGCAGTGTGCGACGCTTCTTTATGTCTCCTTTTCAGTTTATTCCCTTGTTTCAGTGGAGCACATTTTCCAATAGCTTCTTAGAAAGGGTGCTAGAGAGATAGTGCTTTTTATATTTTTAAAATATTGCTTGCCTTAAAAAAAGTCTTTATTCTACTCTCACGATAGATATTTTGGCTGGGTATAGAATTCAAGGTTAACAATTATATTCCCTCAAAATTTATAGACATTGTTCTCTTGTCTTACAGTTTCCAATACTGTTGAGAAGCCTGGTGATGTCTTTTTATATTTTTTCCCTCAAAAGCTTATAATATCTTCTCTTTTTTCTCAGTGTTCCGAATATACCTTGGTTTGTATATTATATTCAGTAACTGTGCTGGGATCTTTCATTTTCTTCAGTTCTGGGAATTGTTTTTTTGATAATTCTCTCCTTACCACCCCATCACCCCTTTACCCCAGTTTATAAAAATCTGTTTTTCTGGGAAGGCTGTTTGAGAAATAACCTCTCTTGAAGGCATCCAGCGTCCCGGCTCTGTGGGTGTGGGGGGAGCATGTGTGTGAGCTGCCATATTTACCTTAGTGAGTTTTAAAACAAAACCAGATGGCTGGTCGAAGTGCAGTCACTGATTGTGTCGGCTCGTAATCGTATAGCTTTGGAACCTCGGGCATTGCGAGCACCAGACTGACTGAGGAGGTGGGTGGCGTTTTGCTTTTGCCAGTGGTTTCTCAACCGGTCTTGGCTATTTTTAGATGTCCCGTGGGCAGTTAGGAAGGGCTTTCTGGAAGGCTGGTTCCAGGAACTGATTCAAAGGAGGAAAGGGAGGCAGCTCCAGCTGTGTGGAGGTGGCCATCCCAAGACGCCAGGGAAAAGTGAACCAGGAGGTTCCTCCACTGGAAATCCCCTCAGCTGGGGACTTGGAGGCTGCGGCCCAGGGAAAGGGCGTTGTTGCTCCTCTGGGGCCTGTGTCTGCTGCAGAGGCAGCCTGAGCCCCCCAACACTGCCCCGGGCCAGCCGTGGGGTCTCAGCAGCCAGCTGGAAAGGCTGCCAGTGGTGACCCTGAGCCTAGCATGTTACAGACTATAAGGTGGCATCAGGTCCCTTTTGGTAATGTGACGCGTCTGTGGTGTCCACATGCAGTGAAATCAGGACGTTTTGGGTGCTGGAGCCAAGAGTGATGCCGTTTTGGAGAGCATAGCCATCTGCATACACAGGCTGAAAGCCCGCCTGCCCCATGAGGGGTCCCAGCTGGCCTCAGCAGCTCCCCAGGGGCCCTGCGGGCAGCCTGACCCATACCTGCTTCACAAGATGCGAGGCTACTGTCCCGGAGCTGTCGTGCTGCTCTTGCGTCCCCTGGTGGGGCGATGCCCCAGAGACAGCCACACAGTGCAGCCCTTCGCAGGGACCTCCAGCCTCACTGGGCCTCACAGGGGGGACGCGGGACTGGGCGGTGCAGTGCAAGGTTTTTAACCATGTGCTTCTTTCTGCTTTCCCAATGCTCAGCCGAGGAGCCCTCAGAAGCGTCCCAGCCCCCAGGCCGAGAGAAGGCCCCACAGATGCCCAGGTCCTCGACCCCATCGCCAGCAGAGGCCCCCACCCAGCTGGCTGAGCTGGAGCCCACCCCGCCGCCGCTGAGGCCGAGTGGTCCTCTGCCCCCCGAGGACCCTACACGACGGCTGCCCACAGGACAGCGGCCTGTCCTGCCCCAGCGGCCTCTGCAGCCGCGGCCCCCTGCGAAGTTGCCCCTGCCGGCATGGCCTGGTTGGACAGGGCTGCCCTTCTTGCCCGGCTCCACAGGGGTCATCATGGAGACTGGCGAGGCCGGGCCTCCGGGCAGGACAGGCGTGTCAGGGAGAGGCCTGCCCCAGGGAGTGGACGGCCAGACCGGACAAGGGGCCATCCCCAGTGCTGAAGGCTATGCAGGCGCACCAGGTAAGGCCAGTGCAGTTGCGTGAGGACACGCAGGCACTTTGCATACTTTCAGAGTAAGCCTTGGGGTCTGCTGAAGGGTGTTTGCAGGTCCAGCGTCTCACCTGCAGGGGGACAAATTCCAAGGATGCCAAAGCCTGAGGGACCAATTTATGCTAATCAGACATGCAGAGAGGCTGGAGCGGCCCAGGGACAGTGCAATAAATTACCCTTAGACAGAATTGCCCCACAGGCTGGGATACTTGTGCCACACGGGCAGCTCATCCATCTTCCCAGCAGGGTCTTGGAAACTGAGTGTGCTGGCAGCTTGTGTAACAGCAAAGGCAGGTCACACAGCCAAGTGGCGAGGCCGGAGGGCTGTGTCATCACAGGCTTTGGGACCTGGGGCAGCTTCCTGGCCTCTCTGAGGCTCAGTTCTTTCAACTACAGAGTGAGGATGGTAATCGGACCTCAGGAGAAAAGCCGTGTTCAGTGCCTGGTTAGCGCGGGGAACGTCAGCAAAACTGATGTGGTCATGGTGGGGGCGGTGTCAGAGTAAAGGCAGGAGGGACAAGACAGGGATCCCACCACGTGCTGCGGACTGAACCTGGTCTTGAGCTCCTGCAACAGCACTGGGCAGCCAGTCTTAGCTCTATTCTACAGATGAGGAAACTAAGAGTTGGGGCTATAACGTGTACACAGATAACCGTGCTTGGGGCAGGTCATGTCATCTGCCAGACAGTGCAAACCGGCCCCCTCTGGGTCAGACCAGGCTGACCATCAAGGGCACTCAGATGTTGGCAGGGCTGGGTCGCTGCTGAGAAGACAGACACATTTGCTCTCACCATTCTTTTTTCTATTCTTTCTCAGCCAACCTGAGCTGCTGGGATCACAGCTCTTTGACAGATATTCAGCCTTTTCTGAGAGAACAGTTTGTCTTGTGTTAGTTCCACGTATCATGGATGCATACACTCGCCTGGGCTATTTGTTCATTCATTCCTTCATTCATGCACGCATGCACCCACCCACACGTGCATGCATCCACGTATCCCTCCATACAGCCATTCGTCCACCTAACCACTCACTTATCCACGGATGCACGCATCCATCTATCCACCTGTGCATGCACCCACCCACCCACGCATGCATCTGTGTATTCATCCATGCATCCATCCACGCATTCACTTAACAAATACCGCATTCAGTCCAGTTGAAGGCAAAGCCCTTGAGCAGATAATGCTACTAGAGGGCAAACGTGTTGACTGGCATGTGTGAGTCCGACACTCTGTGGACTTCTTGGCCTGGGCCCCAAGGCTCCAGTATCCCATCTTTCTCTTCCTATTCCCACAGCCAGTGCCCTCTTTGCCTCAGTGCCCTCTTCCCTGCCAGGGATGAGTGGGCCAGTGAGGGAGCAGGGACAGGTGGCTTCAAATATGCCTGTTTCTAGGAAGGCAGCTCAGAGTGGGTGCCCTTGTTCTATCTATGTCTGTTCTTTAGTAATGAAGACTCAATTTGCGCTTCTGAGGAGTAGGGAGGGAAAAAAAAGCTCAGAAAAATGAGCTACTGTTAAGGATCTCGTTTGACATTCCATTCCCATTTTGTTTTTCAGGATATCCCAGGTCACCTCCGGTAGCCTCCCCAGGTGTGTCTGTGAGGGTTCTCCCTGGTGGTCTCTGCCCCTCCCCCGCACTTTCTGCCTCCTCCCTCCGTGCTGTTCGCACAGGTCGAGCTCGGGCCCAGCCTTCCCCACCCACCAGTGGTGGGACAGGCCTCTGCCCACTGCAGTGGACCAACCCACCCAAGGTTTGCTCCCCTGAGAGGGCCAGAGTCAGGCCCAAGACAAAGAATTTTCCCTCCTACATCATCCAAGCTCATCGAGTTTCCCAAGGGCATTGCTGGGTGGGCGTCTGCCCTGTGTGGTCCTGATGAGCTTCCAGGGGTGCAGGTTTTATTTCTGTCAGTAAGCAAGCAGCTCCCTAGACCATTCCCCTGTGTACCCAGGGCCTGCCCCCGACCCCCACCGTGCGCACGCACACTCCCACGTCCTCCTGGCCACGGCCTGTACAGTTGCCCAGGTTGCCCAGGCAGGGAGCCCTCTGGCACGTGGGTGTGGAGTGCGCTTCGCACTTTCAGGTGAGGTAACAGGCCTGGCACAGGGGCCTGTTCTCCAGAGGGTAGAACCACCCAGGAAGCCTTAACCTGTTCACGTCCTTTCTCTGCTCCAGGGGTTCCGGTGCCTTCTCTGGTGTCTTTTTCTGCGGGGCTCACCCAGAAGCCTTTCCCCAGAGACGGGGGCGTCGTCCTCTTTAACAAAGTGCTGGTGAACGATGGGGACGTTTACAACCCTAACACAGGTTAGTGAAAGGCACATGGGGCCATCTCTTCCTTCCACCCACATGCAGCAGGGGTCCTCCCGTTGCTGTCTGGTCCCCTGGGATCGGGGGCGGGGGGGTACCCGCTCTGGAGATGCTCTGAGCGGGCACGTGCTGCTGTGCCCAGCTCCACGGGTTTTCACGCAAACCTTCCTAGCTCGCAGGCTGCAGGCCGTATGGGTGTGTGACATTCCCCAGTCCTGAGGTCAACACACCAGTGTTCAGCACTTACACTGCAATCACTGTTCGTTTTTTATGGCTGTTTGTTAGGAAGGCTCTGTGGCCCCAGCCCACCACGCCCCTCTCTCGGGTCTGACAGTCACCGTGACGGGGCAGGCGGGTGGCTCCCTTTAGGACCTCGTGCGTTTATAATGAACAGAGCCAGAGAGGACTGTCTTCTCCCTGGAAGGGGCCTCACGCTCTGCAACAGAATCACTTCAGAGTCTGTCCACAGCCCTGGCCCCCAGGCCTGGGCTGTCTCTGGGGCCTGAGAGGATAGTGGGCGTGGAACTTACCCCAGGTTCCCAGTGTCTCCTGGATGGGCTTCCCTGCCAGGAGCAGGGGCGGCCAGGGAGAAGCTGGCTCAAGGACAGAGCCCCCAGGCAGGTGTGGTGAGGTCCTCTTGGCCTGGGGCCCTTCCCAGGCTCTGAGCCCTCAGCAGCCTCTGTTCTCGATCACCCAACATGAACAGGTCCTCCCTGAGGGGCCAGTGGCTTTCAGGGAGGCTTTGCTGCCCATGTGCCAGTGGGAGGAGTGGCACTTGACTTCCCTCTTAGTAGGTGTTGGCCACCGTCCTTACTGACCACTGTCTGGCTAAATCTCCCCTCGTAGGGCGGTGGCCCTTAAAGGTTAGCATAAAGTCACATGCAGCACTTGGAAAAATCTGGTACCCCAGGCCCATTGGAGCGAAGCCCGGCATCTGAGACAGGTCAGGTGGGAGGGGTGCCGCGGCATCCACCTGGGCCCCCGCAAGCCCCTGGGCCTCTGCTGAGTGGCCACAGCCTTGGGTCAGGCTGCCCTCCTCATGCCACTCCATGCTGCCTTGCCGATCCTGCTCACACAGATCAGTGATATTTCTTGCATTCCTAGAACTAGTTTCACGTAAAACAGGCGCTCAGTAAATCCCGATGAGCTCCAGCGAGGCTTCGCCACAGGTGAACTCCAGCAAAGATCGAGCCAAGCTGAGAATGCCAGAGCCGGCTGCCTTGGGCAAGACTCCAGCAGCTCTAAATTACTCGCTGTCCAAAGCTGGGCCAGGGGCTGCGAGGCCTGGCCTTTGCTGTTTTTCAGGGCCGACTGAAGGCCCAGGCTCCTGAGGTCCACCCTTTTTTAGCTCCAGGGTCACGGTCGGTGGGCAAGGCCCAGTGCACTTTGTAGAGCCCATGGGAGGTGGCTGTTCCTACCAGCCTTTGCCATGGGCTGACTCTGTAAATAGCACATTTACAAACTTTATTTATTCCTCATCTCTAGCCTCCAGGCCCAGAACATGTGGGCTGAGTGACAGTGCCATGCGTGTTATGCCACCAGGGACACTGGCCCTTCTGCATGAGGTGGCCCGGCTTGGCTTCCTGGGGCATTTGGTCCTGCCTCATGGCCGTTGTGCCTAGCAACCCAACCTTGAGCCTGATTGTAAGTTGGCTGGAGGTGCTTTTAGTGGGGGAGATATGCCCCAAGAGGCACTCTTGGGTCGGTGGCAAAAAGCAGCTAAGGTGGCCTTAGTCACGGGTGCCTGCAGGTGAGTGCAGCATAAAAACGACGAGCTTCCCCCATCCGCCTGCCTTCTGCGGGCAGGGGACCAGCTGTCTGTTTGCCCAGGACTGTTAAGTGCTAGAAAGATGGCTAGTCCCCCACGTCCAGGTTAACTTACTGCCCACGGCAAGGGCTATGATGGCGTCAGATGAACACGTCTGCCTTCCTCCTCCCAGGGGTCTTCACGGCTCCATACGATGGGCGCTACCTTATCACGGCCACCCTCACCCCTGAGAGAGATGCCTACGTGGAGGCGGTGCTGTCTGTCTCCAATGCCAGCGTGGCCCAGCTGCACACAGCTGGGTACAGGAGGGAGTTCCTGGAATACCACCAGCCCCCTGGGGCTCTGCACACCTGCGGGGGCCCGGGGGCCTTCCACCTCATCGTGCACTTGAAGGCAGGAGATGGAGTCAACATCGTGGTGACTGGGGGCAGGCTGGCGCACACAGACTTTGACGAAATGTACTCCACGTTCAGTGGGGTGTTTTTATATCCTTTCCTTTCCCACCTCTAGGGTGCTGGGGAGAGGTACGGGGAAAGAGCTGTAAAAACTCTGAAGCTTTAATATATTTGGTTTTGGTACGTACTGGAGCACTGGTCTAGAGTTTTCTGCCCCCACCACCTCCCCCAGCGTGAAGGCCGTCCAGGCCACCACACCTCACAGCGTCCCGGCAGGCAGTGAGGAGTGAGGCACAAGGTCAGTGGCCACTGGTTTTTCTGTCTCTCTAACTGGACAACTGGAAGACTTGGAAAGGCCCTCTTGCTCGTGAGCCAGATCCTCCCCGGCATCTTGCCAGCCTCCAGCTCCACTCTGAGGGTTCCTGGGGGACAGGCTGGGGGATGGGGTCCTGCTGGGCTAAGGGCTAACACTGCCCTGGCTGATCTTTACTGGAGAGCAATGCTGTGGCCAACCACCTGTCTGTATTTACACTGCATGCAGGAGAAAAGTTTAAACACTGAAGTGCTGAGGTGGCCCATGCCACCACACAGGGACTCTGAGTTTACAGTTTGGGCTGTTCCACGCTTGGTCCACCACTGCCACCAGGACTCTCCCCTGCTCACCTGGACTGCTGATGGGGATGCGTTAGAGGCTGTTCCTGAAGCGTGTTGGCTCCTTAAATGGCATGTACAATTCAAGTGCAAAGACGGGGAGTGCCAATAAAGATGTAAAACCACTTCAAGTTTTTTTTTAAGCCTGGTGCCTTATGGACTGGAAGTTGTTGCTAAAAAGCCAACTGTAGAAAGGTAATTGGCCTTTTCTGTTTACGGGCTGTGTAGAAAATAATCTTGAATAAACTAATCTCAAATATAAAAGTGTTACTCCTCAGCATCCAAGATGTACACTTGGGTTTTGCTTTTGGCTTATAAAGACACACCAGATGTGCGTGGAGGTCAAGTCCCCCATGTGATCCCACAGCTGGAGAAGTTTCTCCAGGGGATGCTGGAAACTCGCATCTCATCAGCAGCCGCCCAGGCTGATGAGACCGAGTCCCTGCTGTTTCACTGCACAGCTCTCTAGCAGACAAAGCTTGGCGAACTCTCAGGTTCCTAAGCAACAAGAGGCCCAAAATAAAACTGATCACACACTGAAAGCTGAGATCATCTGAGAAAGCAGGGGTCTTCTCACAGCGAGCATGTTCTGTTCCAAGGGGAAGCCAGACATGTTAATCCTTCACCAGCAGCCACAGAAAGCTCCAGGCACCCTTAGCTCAAGGTAGTCTTTGCGAATTAGATTGGCAAAGCCTATCTGGTCAATCAGGTACCACTGGGGAAAGGCACATACCCCAGGGCAAGGTTTGGACAGTAGATACAAGAGCTCTGGTTTCCTTGGCCTGCATTGAGTCATTACACTATGCTCTTATGCTGCAAAAATGCTCTGAGTTCCAAGGACTATTAACAAATGAGGCCACTGGACACTAAGGAGTTCTCATTTATGCCCCTCCTCCAGCTAGGGAGAGTGAGCAAGAACTAAAGGTTTCCTGTTTTACTATTTTAAAATTTGGACTTCTTTGTCCAGGAGAGGAGGGAGAATGGCATTCTGGCCCTTTGTTTCTATAGCTGGGGAACTGGCCAAAGGTAGCTGTCAGAGTATCCTTGGCTATCCCAGAAATGACTCACGGAAAAACACCGACGCAGCCGAGCATTTTCAGGAAAACCCAGTTGGCACGTGCTTTTGCCCTCTTCCCTCACACTCCCTTTTAGCAGACCTTACTCAGTACCAAAGGGGACAAGTGCTCAACAGCTGGAAAAGCAGGGACCAGAGAGGAAGTAGATGATGATTTTTCTTTCCTACTCGGTAGACGGTTCTCTAGAGCATCAGGTAAAACTTGGTCCTCCTCTCTCAATGCCATCTTGGCTCATTTACTGACAAAGGTGAATTTCAGCTCTGTGTATCCAAGACAGGCAAAACAGAATAAGCCCAATTAAGCTGATCTTGCCTTTACTTTAAGATAAAATAAGATGAAAGGTGGATTCCGGCCCATTTAGGAGATGGCATCTTTAGAAAGGGAAAGGCTGTCTTTTTGTACAGAGGGAAAACAACAGGGTCAGCTGAGTTCAGGGTTGTGGGGTTCAGAGCAGCTTCCTGAAGTGGCGAGCCTGCGGGTCAGAGGTATGACCAAACCCTGAGGCGTAATCAGGTGCAAGGCCACAACTTCCAAAATCGAGGCGCTGGCAGTCCACTCCCTATACCCCATGTAACAAGAGCAAATGGCCTCATTTAAATGATGATTAAAAACAAACTGACACCTGCAATACAGAATGCAAATCAATATAAAGTGCATTAGAAATTATTTTCAGGTTGGCACACCGATCTAGCTTTCCCAAATGACTTACCTCTCAGACGGCCTCTCACAATTTACGTCTTTGCTGCTTGAAAGGAGAGGAGTATTTGTGATTAGAAATATACTCCATGCTTGTAGCTCTGAAACATGGCTTTGTATATACCCACACCCACTTTCTTAACATACATGTATGTTTTCCTTATACTGTTCTATAAATGGGAAGGAAAAAGGAAGGACACGTGCAAACTCCAAGGAGTGAAGGGTGCAACAGAAGGAAGCTGCACTCAGGTCCCTGAGACCAGGGATGCAACACCCACTGCTCCTCTAAAGCATTAGAAGCCACTCTGGGTAAAAATCATTTCCTTTGTTATCAAACTCCGTGTGAGCCTTTCCATTCTGTTCCCAAAGTACACTCCAGACCCATGGTTCTCATCACCCAGCCATCATGTCATGGCAAAGCGGCATCAAATGCAAGAGTTTTCCATACGTGAAGGCACATGCTCATGGAGGGACTGTGATATACGATGTTCAACATATGCTGCGTTTGGTAGGTGCCCAGTGATCTGAGAGGATAAAAAGATGCTCATTTAAATAATGTGTTAGATGTGGGTTTTGATCACTTTGACTCTGCCTATCTGATGAAAACATCAGGGTTGCTAAGTTGTATTCACTCTGAAGAAGGGTTTAATGAAAGGTGGGGTGTCATGGGCTCTGGACAGGACTCTCAGGGGAACTCTGGAGGGCCGAGGGGTAGGAGGTAAACACAGCCTTGTGGACACCAGTGAGACCACAGAAGAAATTACATATGTATGAATGAGTCATCTCCTGGCAGAACACACAAAGCAAGAGGTTAGTTCCTGTGGGTGTAGCCTCACCTCTGGAGTCAGGTTTTAAAAATAAGCACCTAAAAGAACTCCCTCCTATTGATACATTTAAGTGCCAGCAAAGATCAAAATGCTAATTTATGGAAATTATCAATTTCTGGCAAGAGTATAGAGAAAATGGTTTAAATGCCCCCTAAAGGAAACAGGCAAATGCATTCAGTTTGTTTATTTTTGTAACATTTTGTTTTGAACATGAAACACTGCACCAAAATATGAGCCATTCGTCTTAAGACAATTGTCTTTACCATAACTAAGAGACTGTACTGATGTTTACAATTAATTTATGACAACTTAAAACTTATTAGTGACATGGCTGTCTAATCAAATACTTCTCATCATAGGCTGAACATAATTATTAAATTAAAAGAGCAAAGGTTCCCCTCCATTCCTTACCTTCAAACCAAACCCCAAAAGTAGTTTTCACCTGGAAAGAGCACTTTAAGGAAAATTAATTTTTAACCAGTTTTGTTAAACCCAGCAAGCTCCAAAAATTGGGAAAACAAGGCTTCTCAGAGTACATAGGATGATACTAAAAAAGATAAAATTCCCTGAAGAGTCTGTTTTCACCAGCTTGCAAAAAGTGAAAGGCTGACTTCTTTCAGTTTATCCTGTAAAAGTCCATGCCTGAACGCTCGTGAGCAAACCTCGCAGGGCTGTGTGCGGCCCGATAGTCGGGTAGGCCGTGCTGGGGCAGAGCACCTCCCAGCCATCCTGTCAGGTCTCTTCCTCAGCTGTTCTCCCTGTGATTTTTAGCAGCTTTCATTTTAGAACATCACACACATAAGCTTTTTCTTTTTCCAGTTGAAAACTATGCAGATGTTTTTAAACAGTGAAACACAGTACTCAAACATGGAGGCTGCTTGTGTGCTCCAGGCCCACATGTGCACCTCGCCCAGCCTGGCAGATGCCGGCAGGACAAGCTCCAACACTTGGACACCAAAGCAAACACTAGAGTTAGATTGCACTGCAAAGAAGGAAAGGGAGCATTTCACCAACGGAGCAACCGAAAGAATGATGTAGAGCCCAATCTGCCTACAATCTCCCTGCGACATCACCCGGCACTGAAGACAGTGAGGGTGACGCTTCAATATACCATCCTAAGGGTTTGTGTACAAACACACTCGAGGGCATCTCTCTTTCACAGAAAGAACAAATGTCATTTGTACCAAATGGCAATGGATTTTCAGCACAAACTTAAAACTTTCATTAACACTGCAGCAAAAGTAATCATCTACTATCAGCAAGAAGGACTCCTTTAAACAAGGAAAAAGACTCACATTAATTAGCCTATGTACCCACTGGATCAATCTGCAGCAACAAAGTCTAGTGCTAATGGACACCAGGGCAGAGGGACCAGCCACTCTCAACACAGGGCCAGGAGATCCAGGTCCTAGACTGGACCCTCTAACAAGGCCATGTGTCCAAAGAGAAAAGCTTATCAAGAAAAAGAAACAAACTACCTAGTCAAAAACTCTTTAAAGGACAACCTAAAAAGAACTAAAGAAGATGTATGTTAAGATTTTCGGTACCACACATATGCAAAGAAGTCCTACTAGGCTCAGGTTAAGCACATAAAGCTCTCGTTCCTCCTCTAAACAGAAGGCAGTCGAGAGGACATGGTGATGGCATCTATGAAATGAAGTGGCTACATGGCTGCTCTACTAGAATTTTAACTAACTGGGTAGAACTTCATACAAACATAACCTAGGATCCCTAACCTACTATATATAAATAAACTGATTAAACAATTAGTTCTGTGAACTATTTAAGGGGGGCAAGGTTTGCACCACAGAAAGCTTGTGTTGTCCCTTCTCTGGGAACATGCGCCTCCCAGGTTTTGCCACTGGGAATTGTGCTCAAGGGATTTGGACATTGTCTCTGCATCCAACAGCACTAGGAAAAAATGGCTACAATCAGTCATGGACTTTCAACTCTCCAATCTGGAAAAATAACCACCCCTATTCCCCATCTCTAGAGCAGTTATTATTTTGGGTGAACAAGAGGCCCTCCAAATATGACTGCAGAGACACACAGAGTTGGAAATGAAACTTTCCCAAGAGCACAGAGTCTGTATCTGCAGCTCCTCTCTGCTCAGGAACCTCCACCTCCTGTGTTCTCAACAATGGAGGACTATGACCAGAGGTCATTTCTGGTCCCCTAAAATTCTCCTCTCTGGTAGTTCTCTTGGTGTCAATAGCGCAGTGGCCACCAACATCCAGCAAATCACAAGCTCTGGAGGGGCAGAAAGCACACAACCCTTCCCTGGTACTGCCTAGTTTGGACATTTGACATGAGCTCATTACAACCAGGTCAATAAATGGAGCTGCCGTGTATGTTTCAGTGAAAACATATGGGCACCCAACACCCTCATGGGTCTAACAGGGCAGCCTCTGCACCGCTGACCACAGGAATCCCCAGCTGGAGGGGTCAGAATGTGGGCTGGGGACACTGCGGAGGGGTGGTCTGCTCAACAGGAACTCTAAGAGCCCCCTCTTGCACGGTGTCCATGGGCAATTATTACAGGGTGGTGACTGCAAATGCCAAAGCCAAATGCTGCTGGCCAGTGGCCTTCAAGCAAGCTTCGCTGCATTTCCCTGGCAAATCTGGACCACAGAATTTTAGAAATCCTGTCCCAAAGCAAGACACCAAAAGGCCCACCTAAAACAGGCAACTGGCAGAGGGAAATGGTCCTCTTCCCAGGAGCCAGTGCAAGTGTGTATCTACATTTCTGGGACCTCCCTGAAAACACAGTTGTTGGGGTGTTTTTGTTTTAAAACCCAACTTCTCACCATTAGTACTTTTATACTACAGACATCAAATACCTGCAAGATCTCTTCTGGTTAGGTCTAAGAAATAACTTAAAGGTCTCTCATCATGGATTAGTCACAGATGAGAAGATGATCTAAGGGGATTTTCTCCTCCAGAAGCCCAAGTCTGCGGGGCTGGGTTCAGTGGCTCTGGTGAATGGATCCTGGGGGCGTCCCGCCCAACTTGGCTCACTGGAGCAGCTGTCCCATTCAGTGTAGCAGGAAACGAGGTGCCCAAAAGCGAAACGTGCACAGGTAGTTTCAGCCACTATCACTAACTGGACCTGCCGTAGTTCAGAGGACCCTGACCCGCTGAAGAAAGCCCTGGTTACAGAGAGAAACCATCTCAACTGCCCAGTGGAAATTATAACACTTTACTTTGTATAATGTTTTGGTCCCCTCTTTTTAAGCTTTTTTTTTCTTCCTTTTAAATTATGCAATGGAAGGAGCACCCAGCACACAACTTGACAGGATGCATGTGTGCAGCCCACAAGGGAGGGAGCACAGGCCTCCGGCCCCAGGCCAAGCCCTTCCCTTCTCCCTCCGGGTGCTGACTTGCAGACCCGCAGAGCCCGAGCAGCCAGCCTGGGAAGGCAACGGAGGATGGCTGTGCCAGCTCCAGAAGCCCCTGGCCCTGCTCGGGAAAGCTAGTGTCCAAGGTTGGCAGAAGGGCCAGTCACCTTCCCCTGCTGTGAGAAGACTGAGCCCTGCCTGTCCAATGGAGATGCCACCTCAGGCCAAGTCGTCCAGGTCCACTTCAGGGAACGGGTCTCGCCAGTAGCAGAAGGAGCTGAACTCTGGGCAGGGAAAGGCAGAATTCTGTTCCTTACTGAGAAGTGGGAACACGTGCTCCACAAGCTCGCTCAGCCTGTGGTACCTAGGAGAAGGTTGGGGAAGAGACACAGACTATGGGTTGTGAAGCTGGCTACTCAGCTTCCCAGATAGGCAGGTTCAGAGATAGCCTAAATCCTGTCCCAGGGCTGATGTCCTCCTCCAAGTCTAGGATAACCAGGGACCCCTTAAACCATTATTTTGGAAGAGAAAACACCCACAGAGGAGGCGGAGTTCTGATCCTTCGACCTAAGCCTGATCTCAGCTAGTATCTCTCTGTCCTGAACTGGGCCCTCGGCTGCAGGGCGCTGGGCCGAGAACTGGGAATGCACTTACGATGACTTGTTTCCTTTGGTCCTTTCTTGTATTAATTCACCCTTGGGGTTCACAGTGAATATTCTACAGTCTGGAACTCCAACTTGTGTGTAAGCATAGACGTCCTGCAGAAGAAAACATCAAGCAGGGTGATTCCAGTGAGAAGAAATCAGGAGACGCTTCTCAGGCTCCTTGTGAGCCAGAGTACTGCATACACAGATTCTCCACGGAAAACACATGGAGTTGTGCACAATGCAGTTCTGCCACCAAAACTGAGCTTCACACAAACATTAGGTAGAGAGAGTGGTGCCAAACCCAGAGGGCATTCAGAGAATCAGAAAATGGGCAGCTACGAAGGAGAAGCCAGGGGTCCTGAAAGCAGAAGGAGGCAATGCCTTCCACAACTGAGGCCTGATGGCCCCATGAAGGAAGCAGGTGGAAAGTGCTTTCAGGCCCTGCTTGGGGCGAATCCAGGGACATGGCTTAGAGCCACTCAGATGACCAGTCAGAGCTGCCTGAGGAAATGGAATTGAAGCCACAGAAACGAACAGAAAGCTACAAGTTCTGGGGCAGAACTGCACCTATGGGACCGCCCCAATTGCTACAGAAATTTGGAACAGATCAAGTGAAAAACCTCCTAAGCAAAAGAGACATCTCATTTTGCTTACAAAATTGGCTTGATAATTATGACATGGCTACACTCTAAAAAGCACATGCCTCTAAATTTCAACCACACCAGAATCCAGAGCCCAGGAGACACTTACATTTGGACGGTTTCCAAAGGCAGCATAGAAGGGCTGCTTGGATGGAGCAAACAGATTCTTGATATCATTTAGACACTCAATCTTGAACTTCTCTGGTTTCTTTTCTATCACTTCCCTAAGGAAAAAAATTAAAATACAATCACAAAACTCAGAGTGGTAGTTTTCCCCAGTGTGTGGTTCTGAAAAAATTTTAGTGCTCACAACTACCCAACTTTAACCCTTTGTAACTGGTATCCTTCTATTTCCTTGCCAGTCTGATGACTAAGAAAACTTGAGCGACAGGGTTTAGGGAAGGAGAAAACTTGACTCTCCTAGCACTTGACTTTTCTTCACCATGTCTGATACAGACCAGGTGAAGGGTGTGCATGAGGCCTCTCCCCGGCAGCCG